TAGCAAATGGCTGCAATATAACAAAGAGTGAAAAATTTAAGGGGGTCTGAATACTTTCCGTACACACTGTATGTTTATGCATTTATTTATTTGTTTCCTCTCTTTCCTCAACAGTACAATTCATTGAAAGCACCTTACTTCTATTCAGTGATCGAACTGAATCAAGTCTTATGGGGGTCCCCACAGTTTTTTTTTTTAATGGGTGGAGTGGGGGGAGGGGGGTTAGTGTTGCAATATAAAATATTGTATATATTCATAACTATATACCATTTATTAAAACAGACTTTCACAAAAGAACAAGGAGCAGACAAAAAAGGGCAACTGGGGCAAAATATGCAGGTGACTATACTTATAAGGCAACTGAAGACCTGCAAAAAATATGTGACTTGAAAATACATTGAAATGTCTCTAAAAACGCTAGAAAATAATTAAATGGCTTCCAAACTCATTGGAGGGCCTCAGTCAGATTCAGCAGTGGCATTCATATGTCTCAGTAAGCAATGATAAAGCAGCTGTCAGTAACTTCAAAATGACCTTAATAAAAGACATGTTTAATTTATTTAAATGTTTTATCCACGTTTACAAATAAAATTGTCATAATTCCAGCCTTACTGAGCAATGGTGCCAACTGTCCCTTTGCGCCACCTGGTGGTGATTTCGCGAACGAGTTTCACACGTGACACGGTTGTATTTCCGCGGCGTATTCTATATAGTATTCTATATAGTCTTTGATAATATACATTTTGGTTTACTAGTACTACCTAATGTATGTCGTATACGATTATTTTGATTTATTTTCAGAATTTCTGGTCACAAAATTTTAGTTTTTATGCCACGAGTCTGTTTTGATAATTTAGCAATAATTATAAAATAACAATGAAAAATGAGTGCAGGTTCCAATGTATGGTATAAGGTAAGGCATACAAATGCTCCGACATACACACACACACACATATATATATATATATATATATCATTGCTGTTTTTCGTAAAGGTAGCTTCACCTAAGCAAACACTAAACAGATGTAGGGATGTTTACACATGACAACCACTCTTGAGTCTTGAGTCACACAAATAATAATAATACTAAAACTAATACTAATATTACTACTTCTAATAATAATAATTTACGGGATTTACCGTAACCTATCTGAATGAATAATCAGATTTGCCATCATTATATTTACTAAAATAAAAATATCTGGGGGACCCCGCAAAGTTTATTTTAGACTTCTTATGCGGGATATTATCACAACTTATCAACTAAACATACCACAATATTATCAACTAAAAATTCAATATCAAAATTCAGAGAAACAAACAAAAAAACAACAACATATTTCATAGTTTTTAAGTATTTCAAAGTATGCCAAACATTAAAGTTATCCCAGATTTTTTTGAAAATGATTTGGAATAAAATAAATGGTTCAGTGACAAAAGGTGCACTCATTACAATCCAATTTAAATCTGTGTCTGAGAATAAATGTCAGTAATTATTTAAAACTTAACCTCTTTAGCCTTCGGTAGAAGAGAACGAGAATTTGAGACACTTTCTCTTTGGAGAACTCAAAAACAAGGCATGGCTCTCTAACTTTCAAAAGGGAAATCCTGTGCATTTAAAATAATTTTTAAAGCACTATTATTACAACCTCCTGCATAAAATTAAGACCAGAAATCATTAATTTACTTAGTCTTGGGATCACCAAAAGGGCCAAAACCACAGGAAACATGCCTGAATAAAAGAGATTGATTGATGCTAATTACACCTGTCCTCCTTTTTTCTCCCTCTGAGACGTTGAAAGTGAGATCAAGGAAAGACTCCAATAAAGGAAAGAGGAATAATCAGCTGATCTCATGGGTATTTCAGCTGAATGGGGTGCTGGATAATGTGTCACAAGAGGACACCTATGATCGTGTTGCCCGGAGTGTAGTGCTGGGAGCCTTCGGGGGCTACAATGGTTGGTCATTCAAATGCATACATATGTAGCATATCTGAAATCACAAACATTCACAAAGACATTTTATACTTTGAAATAAAATACTTATAAAATGTGTGTTTAGGTACAATAATGTGCTTTGGGCAAACTGGTGCTGGGAAAACATACACTATGACAGGTGCTGCAGAGACTTACAAACAGAGAGGCATCATTCCTCGAGCCCTAGACTTAAGTGATAAAGAAGCACAGTCAGTGCTTCTGCTCTTATAGCTAACAAATAATCTCTCATTTCCTCAGGTTTTCCAGGAGGTGGAGCGTCGCACAGATCATACCTTCTCTGTTCATCATTCCTTTCTGGAAATCTATAATGAGACTATGGTAGACTTGCACTCCAGCTTAAAGCAGGGAAAAAGTTTGAATAGTGGGGTCTTAACTGTGGAAGAAGAACCAGGGGTCGGAGTCTCAGTTAAAGGCTTGTCTTTAAATTTGGTTCACATTGAAGATGAGGCTCTTAATCTGCTTTTTAAGGTAAGAGGTCAAGTCATAAAGTCATGAGGTATTTGATCAGCTTATTAAAAAAAAGATGAATGCATATTTATTTCAGCAAAAATACCGTAGTCTATTTCCAGTAAACAGAATTCTTATCAGGTTGTGTTTGCACTGTTAGGGGCAAAGAGTTGTTCTTATCTCTCATCACTTCTGTTGACAAATTGGCTAATGATAAACAATATGACATAACCACCATCAGAAAGCCAGGAACGTCATTAAAGGTCTCATTACATTAAAATAAATGACAAAAACTTGAATGTTTTACCCACATGGCCCCACATTTGGTGGACAACAATACTTTCGTGAGAAGTGAAAAGGTAGAAACTGGTGTCTCATGCATCATTAACTCAGCTACATGTGCAGGGGTCGGTATGTGCTGTTGTGAGAGATGGAGAGGTGTGGATATGGCCTTGGTTTCGCTAACTCTTCACAGAGACATCAACGAGCTGTGTCACCTAAACCAAGTAAAGCAAGAAAAGACAAACAGATCAGCAGGTGACAATCTCTTTCCCTAATATGCGAGACAGGATGTGAAAAATGAACTAAGTATTCAGAATCAGAATCAGAATCAGAATGAGCTTTATTGCCAGGTATGTTTACACATACGAGGAATTTGTTTTCGTGACAGTAGCTTCCACAGTGTAACAGAATGACAGTGACAGAACAAAAAACACAGATAATAAAAAATAAAAAAATAGAACAAGTAAATAAGGAATAAAAAATATACAAATCGACAATCGACAATTGTATGTCCAGGTATAGAACAATAGACAGTTGTATGTACAGGTATATTATGTGCAAATTGAAATGTAGACTGAGTATGTGTGTTAGATAAATAAGTGTATGAGTGTATAAATAGTGTGTGTTCCACAGTTCAAAAACATAAAAAAAGTGCGGAGACGCCACGGAGGCAAGCCATCAGCTTCGGCGCCATCTTGAACATGAATTTAAACATTCATGTTTAAATCGAGATATTCATGTTGAAATACACAATGTAACATTTTAAAATGTAAGGCAGCATCATACACTTGCTGACTTTGTAAATATTACGGAGAAGAACTGCTCACCATACACTACAGGACTGAGGATCATGCACAACCAGAGTCATTCCGAACACAACAAACTCACACAGAAACAGGCACTTCCTTGCTAGGAGATGCATGAGAAATGAACACAAAATGTTCTAAAATCAGCTCAAAATATCAAACATGTTTTATATCATGGTCTGAAGCTAAAGAATCAAGAGTCTGTGACTGTGCCCATAATACACCACATGATTTTCTGTGAAATCTCTCAACTCCGGTTAGGTCAAATCTAAAGACTGCAAACAGGAGCAGAAATCTGGGCAAAAGTTGTGAAGTGTATTCCAGCCTTTTTAGTTTGCCATGTTCTCTGTGAATAAACATGACAAAATCTCTGTGATATAGAGGACAGTGTGATGCAATTGTGTCCATCTACCCACTCATTTCAGTGACACTTTTCTAGGAATGTAAATGTTTGTACTTAATTTGAAAACATTAAACAGCAACGAGCATACATGACAATCATTACATTTGAGAAAGTTAGATATATAAAATTATGTCATTCTAAAAATAATTTCCACTTAGTAAAAGGCCATAATGGTCATCAGACAATCCCTGCCTCCTTCTATGTATATTTGGAAAAACCAAAACCTCACCATAAACTAGGAGCATTTGGAGTAACCAACCAAATTTTGAAAATGGACCACCATGTTGTGAATTCAGTACTTCAGTAAATCTTATCTTGAGCAGAAAGAAAGGAGCAGTGAGACAACGGCCACTGGAAAATGCAACTGTGCAAGCTGAACAGCCTCTAAACA